AAAATACATTTTTTACAGATTAATTATAGTTTTATATGCACAAAACAATGAGAACTAAATAAAATAAATACAAAAACAATTAAATCAGTATTACATACAGTGGTCCCTCAATAATCGTCCATAATCCGTTCCTGGAAGTGGGACTATTATCGAAATGGATGATTTATGAATCAATTTTCCCCATAAGAAATAATGTAAATTCAATTAATCCGTTCCTGACACCCAGAAGTATTAAAACAAAAAATTTTGTTACATGAAATATAGATGTAGTACATAAACAATAGTGGCACATGATGAATTAAACATTAACAGAATAACACTTACCTTTATTGGCGATTCTTCTTTGTGTATGGAAGACTGGAGAATGAGACTGATTGGATGAATTACTGTTTGGAAGGGGAATCCCCTTCCATCAACACCTCGGGTACCAATTGCTTTTCTGGGGTTACTTCTCTTCTCTGTTTCTTAATGCCACTAGGACCACCTTGAGAGTCACTGGAGTCCTGTCTCGCAAAAAAACTGTCCAGAGAGCTCTGTTTCTGGCGTCTCTTTAAAACTTCCCTAAAATGGGCCAAGACTCTGTCACTGTACAAGTTGCCGATATGGCTTGCAACATCCTTCTCTGGGTGATGTTTCTCCATAAATCTTTCCATCCTACCCCACATTTCAAAAATCTCCTTAATTTCTGAAGAAGGCACCTTCCTCCATCTCTCTTCCTCCTCCTCTGCAGCAAGATTCAGAGCTGCCATCTGTTGCTGTTCCTGCTGAAGCTCTTGCAGCTCCTCAGTGGTTAGCTCTTTGTTGTGGTCCTCCACCAACTCTTCCACATCCTCCAAACTCACATCCAACCCCATGGAAGTCCCCAGTGCCACAATGGATTTAACAACTGACATAGGCTCATCAGGGTCAGCCCCAAACCCTTCAAAATCCCTCTTGTGGACACAATCTGGCCACAATTTTCTCCAAGCAGAGTTCAAAGTCCTGGTAGTCACTCCCTCCCAAGCCTTACCTATAAGGCTTACGCAATGGAGAATACAGAAATGTTCTTTCCAAAAATCTCGTAGGGCCAAGTGAGTGTCTGAGGTCACATTGAAGCACCTTTCAAACATTGCTTTGGTGTAGAGTTTTTTAAAGTTTGCAATGACCTGCTGGTCCATGGGCTGGAGGAGAGGAGTGGTATTCGGGGGCAAGAACTTTACTGTGATGAACCCAAACTCCTTCAGAATTAGGTCATCCAAGTTTGGGGGATGAGCAGGTGCATTGTCCATTACTAGGAGGCACTTGAGATCCAATTTCTTTTCTAGGAGGTAATTCTTCACACTAGGGCCAAACACTTCATTGAACCACTCTACAAAAATTTCCCTCGTGACCCATGCCTTACTATTAATTTCCAAAACACACACAATTTACTCTTCATAACATTTTTTTCCTGAACACTCTGGGATTTTCAGAATGGTACACTAGTAATGGCTTCACTTTGAAATCCCCACTAGCATTAGCACAGAACATTAGCATCAGCCTGTCTTTCATAGGCTTGTGTCCTGGCATTGCCTTTTCCTCTTGTGTAATGAAGGTCCTCTTGGGCATTTTCTTCCAAAAGAGGCCTGTTTCGTCACAACTGAACACTTGTTCAGGTTTCAGTCCTTCAGCCTCTATGTACTCCTGGAATTCATGCACATATTTTTCAGCCGCCTTGTGGTCCGAACTGGCAGCCTCACCATGCCTTACCACACTGTGTATGCCAGTATGCTTATTAAATCTCTCAAACCAGCCTTTGCTGGCCTTAAATTCACTCACATCATCACTAGTTGCAGGCAAGTTCTTTACCAAATCGTCATGCAACTGCCTAGCCTTTTCACAAATAAGAGACGTCATTTATCCACACCAATAATAGCTTCTCAACATCTTCGAGTACTGGTGATCTCATTTTTGTCAGCATATTTACCTCCTTTGCAACAACAGCGTCCTGATTTCCTTTTTCTTGGCTATGATGGAAGATATGGTTGTACGGTATTTGTTATACATCCTGGCCAGTTTGCCCACACGTACGCCACTATCATATTGTTCAATGATGTTTTTCCTAAATTCAATCATATTTCTCACCTTCTTTACCAAAGGCTTGGCACTAGGAGCTTTCTTTGGAGCCATGGTAGCTTATTTAGCACTTAAATAACTTGCAAGCACTAAAATAAATGAAATATTATGAAATATTTCGCTGGAGCACGTGAGGGGACCGTCGCTCACTGGTAAACAATGGCACACTGGCTGGGAAGGAAAGGCAGAGGCGGCTCGAGGCCGCTCAGACCGTGAGTGCGCGTCCGGGACGAAGGACTATTAGCGAGTTACCAGGCCATTTCCAAGCCAATATTTTGACGAAAAAACAGGACTATTTCCGAAATGGACGACTTTCAGGCCAGACGATTATTGAGGGACCACTGTACCTTTACTGAAGACTGTTGTTGGCTTATGGAAGATAGGGAGGAAAGTTTATTGTTTGGAAGGGGAATCCCCCTCCATAAGGACTTAAGATATCAAAGCCCTATCTGGGGTTACTTCTCTTATTTGTCTTTTAATGCCACTAGTACCAGCTTGAGAGCCACTGAACCCCTGTCACACAAAATATCTGTCCAGAGAGCTGTTTCTGGCATCTCTTTAAGATTTCCCTGAAGTGGGACAAGGTTCTGTCACTGAACCTATTGCAGATGTAGCTTGCTTCAGCTTGGTCAGGGTGATATTTCTCAGCAAAAGCTTGCACTCTAGTCCACATTGCACAAATCTCCTTAATCTCTGAAGAAAACACCTCCTTCACTCCCTCTTCCTCCTCCTCCTCTGAAGCAAGTTCCTGAGCTGTGGTCTATTGCTGTTCCAGATGAAGCTCTTGCAGCTCTTCAGTGGTTAGCTCTTCCCTGTGGTCCTCCACTAACTCTTCCATATCCTCACCACTAACCTCCAACCCCATGGACTTGCCCAAAGATACAATGGATTCCACAACAGGCATAGGGTCCTCAGGGTTAGCCCCAAACCTTTCAGAATCCCTCTCTTGGACACAGTTTGGCCACATTTTCCTCCAAGCAGAGTTCAAAGTCCTGGAAGTCACTCCCTCCCAAGCCTTACCTATAAGGCTTATGCAATGGAGGATACTGAAGCGATTCCTCCAGAACTCTCTTAGGGTCAATTCAGTGTCCAAGGTCACTTCAAAGCACCTCTGAAACATTGCGTTGGTGTAGAGTTTTTTGAAGTTAGAAATGACCTGCTGGTCCATGGGCTGGATGAGAGGAGTGGTATTAGGGGGCAAGAACTTCACTGTGATGAAACTTTACTCCTCAAACAATTGGTCTTCCAAGTCTGGAGGATGAGCAGGAGCACTGTCCATTACCAGGAGGCACCTGAGTGGCAATTTATTTTCCAGGAGGTATTTCTTCACACTCGGGCCAAACACTTCATTGACCCACTCAATGAAAATTAGCCTTGTGACCCATGCCTTATTGTTAGCCTTCCACAACACACACAATTTACTCTTCATGACATTGTTTTTCTTGAACACTCGGGGATTTTCAGAGTGATATACTAGTAAAAGCTTCACTTTGAAATCCCCACTAGCATTACCATAGAACAAAAGAGTTAGCCTATTCTTCATAGGTTTGTGTCCTGGCAGTGCCTTTTCCTCCTGCATGATGTAGGTCCTCTTTGGCATTTTCTTCCAAAAGAGGCCTGTTTCGTCACAACTGAACACTTCAGCCGCACGTTTGTCTGAACTTGCAGCCTCGCCATGTCTTACCACACTGTGTATACCACTTCACTTCTTGAATCTGTTGAACCAGCCTTTGCTGGCCTTAAATTCACTAACAGCAGCACTTGTTCCAGGCATTTTCTTTACAAGATCTGCATGCAACTGCCTATCTCCCGTTAACTGTTTTTCGTTGATCCACACCAACAACTTCTCCACATCTTCGATTGTTTGTGACCTCTGTTTCATTAGCATATTTACCCCTTTTGCAACATCAGCTTCCATGATTTTTACTTTCTTTGCCAGGATGGAACTGATTGTTAATTTGGACTTCCCGTACATCCTGGCAAGCTCGGCCACACGTACGCCACTTTCGTATTTTGATACAAGCTCTTTCTTGAATTCTATCAAAGGGCTGGCACTCTGAACTTTCTTTGGTCCCATGGTGGCTTATTTCATGGTTGCACTCAATAAACAAGCACCAAAAACAATGGATGAATGCACGGAATACTGTTCACTGGACAAGTGACAGAGGCAGATTGAGTTAGGCAGTGGCGGCCCGGGCGGGCAGACACGTCTGATATGGACGACTTCCGAGTCAATGTACGAAACCCGGAGTAAAAATTCGCCGAAATCAAAATCCAAATTGTACGATATTCGGACCAGACGAAAACCAGAGTTTTACTGTACAATGATTTTGGCTTTTCATGGTCAAACGAAAACCTGTAATTGTTTTACAAGATGGTAGGATTGCTGGTGTCCTTTTTTCTGTCTCATTAACACGCAAGATTTCAGGTACGTCTTGCTACTTCTACTTACACTTAGGTCACACTACACATACATGTACAAGCATATATATACACACCCCTCTGGGTTTTCTGCTATTTTCTTTCTAGTTCTTGTTCTTGTTTATTTCCTCTTATTTCAGTGGGGAAGTGCAACAGAATTCTTCCTCCGTAAGCCATGCATGCTGTAAGAGGCAACTAAAATGCTGGGGGCAAGGGGCTAGTAACCCCTTCTCTTGTATAAATTACTAAATTTAAAAAGAGAAACTTTTGTTTTTCTTTTTGGGCCACCCTGCCTTGGTGGGATACAGCCAGTTTGTTGAAAAAAAAAAATCACAAATGACTTTTTAGTATATAGTACCACAAAAACTTCACCAATCCTTAAATATTTCTAATCCACTTAAATACTAAAAATAGTTTAAGAAATATTTGGGCTATTTCAAGGCATGAAGAAGTGTAATCAGTTATGTTAGATATACAGTACTAACACGCCATCATGCATGAAGAAAGAATCTGCAGAGCACATCACAGCGGCTGGATAAAGCTGCTGAATTCTTCTGGCAATAAATGACTTGCCTGATCCTGGTAACCCTTTCAGGATAACCATCACCTGTGAAGAAAACAAAATACCTATTACTACAGATACGTATATACAGTAACGCCCCGCTTTATGGCATTCCACTAATACGGACATTTCAAATTATAACCAAAACTCTCTATACAGCTCTCCCCACCTGATTTTCTAATATGGTCACCATGGCCACCCGGTTTGTTTACACTCTCTGTGAGCACAACTCTGCATTACGTCTGGAAACTTTCCAAATTTCAAGTGTTTTTAAGTTGTTTCACATTTTATATTTACCCTGATAATTATACTTATGTGCACCTGTACCTAAATAAACTTAAACACTGTGCTGGCATGCAGGTAAAAGTTAAGACTGTCTCATGGCATCTTGACGCCATACAGCCTCTCCTCACTTAACGACGGAGTTCCATTTCTTGAGGCCATGTCGTTAAATGAATTCATCACTAAGCAAGGAGCATACTATAATGGTAGAGAGTTTGTGTCTACCTTCTCTGATATTGTTTTAATATCACTTATGCACCATTTATAACATTTCTGGTATACAAGTACCATCTGATTTATGACCTGCTCGACATATGACCACTTGTACTTATGACCATACTGTTTACAGCTTAACTTAAGTTATTTTGTACTTTTCAGTTCATGCATGCAAATGTTTTTGTATGTTTTCATGCATAAGAATGTTTTGTATGCAAATAAACAACTGTTTGTGTTGTACACAGTGTTTCTCCTAAACCTTATAGTATAAAATACAGTACTAAAAGCATATGGTTCAACTTGCATCCATTTTGACTTATGACCGGTTGGTCGGAACCAAGCTCGGTTGTAAGTTGGATGGTACTTGTATTTTTAAATGTTTATACAGTAGTGTACTGTATACAGTGGACCCCCGCTTAACGATCACCTCCCAATGCGACCAATTATATAAGTGTATTTATGTAAGTGCGTTTGTACATGTATGTTTGGGGGTCTGAAATGGACTAATCTACTTCACAATATTCCTTATGGGAACAAATTCGGTCAGTACTGGCACCTGAACATACTTCTGGAATGAAAAAATATCGTTAACCGGGGGTCCACTGTATTGAAATAAAAAGAATAAAGGAAATCAGCTCTAATATACATTACAGTGGAACCTCAAATATCGAACTTTCTTCGGTCCAGAAGGCTGTTCGAGTGCCACTACCGAACGAATTTATTCCCATCAGGAATAATGTAAATTATATTAGACCATTTAAGACCCTCAAAAATACACTTATAAAAGCACTTACAAAAATACACTTATATAATTGGTTGAGTTGGGAGCAGTTCGATTTTTGAGGTTCCGCTGTATTTAGGTATGAATACTGGTCAGAGAGTCCATTGTAAGTCCGAGGCGTTGGTAAACAAGTACACCTACCATCCGACTTACGACCTGCTCGACATACGACCATTCGACTTACAACCTTGTTTTCTATGCCAAATTTCTGGGAAATAAACAACTGCTTGTGTTGTACACAGTGTTTATCCTAAACCTTACAGTATAAAATACAGCACTAACAAAAACTAAAGTAAAAAATGAAATACCAAAATAAAACAATAAAATAAAGTAATTACAAAAATGTGATGTTGATATTCAGTAGTAAGGTTCGACTTACGTCCATTTTGACTTACGACCGGTTTCTCGGAACCGAACTCGGTCGTAAGTTGGATGGTACTTGTATGTCACTAAGTGAGGAGAGGCTGTATTAACAATGATAATAATAACAACACAATAATAATCACTCTGAGGCACATTAAATGTCATATATTACGTTAATAAAGGCATTTTGATTAATCCATCTATGATATTTTTTTCAAAATTATATAAACATGCTCTGTAACCTAGAAACATAATAAATACACCCCACAGTAGAATAAATTAACATAAATATGAGATGTTTTTCCAGTCGTCTTGTCAGAGTCTTGGAAAGAATAACATTTTCTCTAGTTTGACACCGAAGAAAATGTGTACACAATAGTATTACTGGGGGTAACTGTAGAAAATTATTCCTCTCATATGTCTTCACTCTGAGCACTATTCCTTCTAGAAATGGTGTGTTACATGAGAATGGAAGTGCTGCTCTTGATTTATTCTACTTTACCAATGTGGAGACAACTTTGTACACAATGTAAGGTGTTTGTATTTTAGTATAAGATTCACTGACATGGGAATGAACGTATATCAACCAAAACCAGATGCACTTATCTGTTTGTTTACATACACTGTGTCTCTGTCCTCTTTCTCTCTCTCTCGTTCTCTCGTTCTCTCTCTCTCTCTCTCTCTCTCTCTCTGTTCTCTCTCTTGTTCTCTCTCTCTTGTTCTCTCTCTCTTTGTTCTCTCTTCTCTCTCTTGTTCTCTCTCTCTCGTTCTCTGTCTCTCTCTCTCTCTCTCATTCTCTCTCTCTCGTTCTCTCTCTCGTTCTCCGTCTCTCTCTCGTTCTCTGTCTCTCTCTCGTTCTCTGTCTCTCTCTCGTTCTCTGTCTCTCTCGTTCTCTGTCTCTTGTTCTCTCTCTCACCAGTAGATGACTCACTACCAACCGTCTCTGCGTGAATCACTGACTGTATTCATATTGCTGCTGACCATAGCAGGATTTCAAACACCCCCTCACCCTTAGGCACTCATGGGTCAGTCAAGATAGAGAGCAGAGAGAGGCAGGTCGGCTGTTGGCGCTTTCCATACTTCCCGTTATATATATTATACGTACTACCAGCCTACGTGAGTATTCTTACCCTATCCACGTATCGAAAACCCACATGACAAATATTTACACAAACAAACGATATGAAATGTTGTTTGTTACTATTTTTCTAAATTTTATATACACATATACAGTCGTATGAGGTGACTAAAATGCCAGGAGCAATGGGCTAGTAACCCCTTCTCCTGTAGACATTTACTAAAAAAGAGAAGAAAAAAAACTTTATAAAACTGGGATGCTTGAATGTGCGTGGATGTAGTGCAGATGACAAGAAACGGATGATTGCTGATGTTATGAATGAAAAGAAGTTGGATGTCCTGGCCCTAAGCGAAACAAAGCTGAAGGGGGTAGGGGAGTTTCGGTGGGGGGAAATAAATGGAATTAAATCTGGAGTATCTGAGAGAGTTAGAGCAAAGGAAGGGGTAGCAGTAACGTTAAAGGATCAGTTATGGAAGGAGAAAAGAGAATATGAATGTGTAAATTCAAGAATTATGTGGATTAAAGTAAAGGTTGGATGCGAAAAGTGGGTCATAATAAGCGTGTATGCACCTGGAGAAGAGAGGAATGTAGAGGAGAGAGAGAGATTTTGGGAGATGTTAAGTGAATGTATAGGAGCCTTTGAACCAAGTGAAAGAGTAATTGTGGTAGGGGACCTGAATGCTAAAGTAGGAGAAACTTTTAGAGAGGGTGTGGTAGGTAAGTTTGGGGTGCCAGGTGTAAATGAAAATGGGAGCCCTTTGATTGAACTTTGTATAGAAAGGGGTTTAGTTATAGGTAATACATATTTTAAGAAAAAGAGGATAAATAAGTATACAAGATATGATGTAGGGCAAAATGACAGTAGTTTGTTGGATTATGTATTGGTAGATAAAAGACTATTGAGTAGACTTCAGGATGTACATGTTTATAGAGGGGCAACAGATATATCAGATCACCTTCTGGTTGTAGCTACACTGAGAGTAAAAGGTAGATGGGATACAAGGAGAATAGAAGCATCAGGGAAGAGAGAGGTGAAGGTTTATAAACTAAAAGAGGAGGCAGTTAGGGTAAGATATAAACAGCTATTGGAGGATAGATGGGCTAATGAGAGCATAGGCAATGGGGTCGAAGAGGTATGGGGTAGGTTTAAAAATGTAGTGTTAGAGTGTTCAGCAGTAGTTTGTGGTTACAGGAAAGTGGGTGCGGGAGGGAAGAGGAGCGATTGGTGGAATGATGATGTAAAGAGAGTAGTAAGGGAGAAAAAGTTATCATATGAGAAGTTTTTACAAAGTAGAAGTGATGCAAGGAAGGAAGAGTATATGGAGAAAAAGAGAGAGGTTAAGAGAGTGCTGAAGCAATGTAAATAGAGAGCAAATGAGAGAGTGGGTGAGATGTTATCAAAAAATTTTGTTGAAAATAAGAAAAAGTTTTGGAGTGAGATCAACAAGTTAAGGAAGCCTAGAGATCAAATAGATTTGTCAGTTAAAAATAGGAGAGGAGAGTTATTAAATGGAGAGTTAGAGGTATTGGGAAGATGGAGGGAATATTTTGAAGAATTGTTAAATGTTGATGAAGATAGGGAAGCTGTGATTTCGTGTATAGGGCAAGGAGGAATAACATCTTGTAGGAGTGAGGAAGAGCCAGTTGTGAGTGTGGGGGAAGTTCGTGAGGCAGTAGGTAAAATGAAAGGGGGTAAGGCAGCTGGGATTGACGGGATAAAGATAGAAATGGTAAAAGAAGGTGGGGATATAGTTTTGGAGTGGTTGGTGCAATTATTTAATAAATGTATGGAAGAGGGTAAGGTACCTAGGGATTGGCAGAGAGCATGCATAGTTCCTTTGTATAAAGGCAAAGGGGACAAAAGAGAGTGCAAAAATTATAGGGGGATAAGTCTGTTGAGTATACCTGGTAAAGTGTATGGTAGAGTTATTATTGAAAGAATTAAGAGTAAGACGGAGAATAGGATAGCAGATGAACAAGGAGGCTTTAGGAAAGGTAGGGGATGTGTGGACCAGGTGTTTACAGTGAAACATATAAGTGAACAGAATTTAGATAAGGCTAAAGAGGTCTTTGTGGCATTTATGGATTTGGAAAAGGCATATGACAGGGTGGATAGGGGGGCAATGTGGCAGATGTTGCAGGTGTATGGTGTAGGAGGTAGGTTACTGAAAGCAGTGAAGAGTTTTTACGAGGATAGTGAGGCTCAAGTTAGAGTATGTAGGAAAGAGGGAAATTATTTCCCAGTAAAAGTAGGCCTTAGACAAGGATGTGTGATGTCACCGTGGTTGTTTAATATATTTATAGATGGGGTTGTAAGAGAAGTAAATGCGAGGGTCTTGGCAAGAGGCGTGGAGTTAAAAGATAAAGAATCACACATAAAGTGGGAGTTGTCACAGTTGCTCTTTGCTGATGACACTGTGTTCTTGGGAGATTCTGAAGAGAAGCTGCAGAGGTTGGTGGATGAATTTGGTAGGGTGTGCAAAAGAAGAAAATTAAAAGTGAATACAGGAAAGAGTAAGGTAATGAGGATAACAAAAAGATTAGGTGATGAAAGATTCGATATCAGATTGGAGGGAGAGAGTATGGAGGAGGTGAATGTATTCAGATATTTGGGAGTGGACGTGTCAGCAGATGGGTCTATGAAAGATGAGGTGAATCATAGAATTGATGAGGGGAAAAGGGTGAGTGGTGCACTTAGGAGTCTGTGGAGACAAAGAACTTTGTCCTTGGAGGCAAAGAGGGGAATGTATGAGAGTATAGTTTTACCAACGCTCTTATATGGGTGTGAAGCATGGGTGATGAATGTTGCAGCGAGGAGAAGGCTGGAGGCAGTGGAGATGTCATGTCTGAGGGCAATGTGTGGTGTGAATATAATGCAGAGAATTCGTAGTTTGGAAGTTAGGAGGAGGTGCGGGATTACCAAAACTGTTGTCCAGAGGGCTGAGGAAGGGTTGTTGAGGTGGTTCGGACATGTAGAGAGAATGGAGCGAAACAGAGTGACTTCAAGAGTGTATCAGTCTGTAGTGGAAGGAAGGCGGGGTAGGGGTCGGCCTAGGAAAGGTTGGAGGGAGGGGGTAAAGGAGGTTTTGTGTGCGAGGGGCTTGGACTTCCAGCAGGCATGCGTGAGCATGTTTGATAAGAGTGAATGGAGACAAATGGTTTTTAATACTTGACGTGCTGTTGGAGTGTGAGCAAAGTAACATTTATGAAGGGGTTCAGGGAAACCGGCAGGCCGGACTTGAGTCCTGGAGATGGGAAGTACAGTGCCTGCACTCTGAAGGAGGGGTGTTAATGTTGCAGTTTAAAAACTGTAGTGTAAAGCACCCTTCTGGCAAGACAGTGATGGAGTGAATGATAGTGAAAGTTTTTCTTTTTCGGGCCACCCTGCCTTGGTGGGAATAGGCCAATGTGATAATAAAAAAAAAAAAATACAGTCACAGGGAATGTTTCTAGAGGTTCTGCAGCCTGTGGAACTCTTTGAAACAAGGTGTCATGAACAGTGGTGTTTTACACTCCTCACACATAAAACAAGTGTCTCTGCGTTGTTGTGGGCATTTTTTTTGTATGTGCACAGACGTAACACCTCTTTTGAGCCTTTTTCTTGAAAGAAGTAGCAGGCAGTTTTACTAGGAAGTGATCACCATGCTTCAGACGAGAAAGTAGTTGTTGATAATTTAGTGGGCGGTCTATTGCAGGTGCTGTTCATTGGTACTTGAATACTATTTGTCTGATGACAGACAAACAGAATTTGCCATATGGTGGTTTGTTTCTGGTCCTCATCTTATACATATTATAAGCATTGAGCATGGAAATGTCCAGAAGATGGAAAAAGAGTTTTATGTACCACTTATAACTCTTGCGAACACTATCAGCAAACCCAATCTGCATGTCACATTTGTCCACTGAGCGCATATTGAGGGTGTAATCAATCACAGCCGCAGGTTTTAGAATGGGTTCATTGCTGTCTCTATGCTGCCTGCCAGTGTTTGTCATTTCGTTAGGGTGAACTGATGACAACAGTGTGACATCTCGTTTGTCATACTACCAAAATGCCATGATGTCATTGGCAGCAAACGCCTGCACCTCACCTCTACGAGTGCCAGCGTCAAACCTGGGCATATGTTTACAATTTGCATACACTGTGCCACACACATCTGTCATGTTCACTCGCAAAAAATCACTGAGTGAGGGGCTTGTGTACCAGTTATCAGTATATAATATATGCCCCTAACCAAGGTATGGTTCTATCATTGCTCTAACCACATCACCAGAGATGCCCAATAACTTCCTGGTATTTTGCAATGTATAACTTCCAGTGTACACAATATCCAATACCAGACCACTGTAACAATCACAAAGCACAAACAACTTTATACCAAAGCGTTTCCTCTTGCTTGGTATGTACGTACTGCTTGAAAGAGTCTCTCTCTTTGAACAGAATCAAAGACTCGTCAATTACAAGCTTCCTGAAGGGATAAAAATACATACTGAATTTCTCTTTCAGATACACAAACACATTCCTAATGACTCACGAAATCGTAATGACACGATTGCAAACAAACCATACCACGGGCGGGATTTGAACCCGCGGTCAGAGTCTCAAAACTTACGCGACGGTCTGGAGTTTTGAGACTCTCTGACCACGGGTTCAAATCCCGCCCGTGGTATGGTTTGTTTACATTCCTAATCTTATATAACCTGTCGTTCCTGCCAGGCCTGGTTTTGTCTGAGAAGTGAAGCATACGTAATAGTAGCACAAATCGATTCACTCCCATTATATCACTGAAACCTGGGGTTGCAATCAGGCAGTCTGTTGACCAGTATGATTTCACATTGTGCTTATACACATGTGGCATAAGCATTATTGTGGCAAAGAAATGATACATCTCAGCCACAGTTGTCTCCTTCCACTTGTGTAGCCATGAGCTTGGTGAAAGTATTGTGTTTGCCGTGGTGCACTCGTAATATCTGCTGCTTTCCCTGACAATAATTTCCATCAGGGGTTTGTCAAAGAATAACTTGAAACATTCCAGTACACTGGAATTGTTCCCCAGTGTACAACATGGCTGTATTCCACTTTGGCTTTCATCAAACTGGTGGGGATTTGGAACAAAATTGACAGCTTCCTGCCAATCCCAGGTGCGGTCTGCCACAATAAAACGTCACATTAGTTCCTTTTACTTAAAAGAATGGACCTTGTGTTATGGTATGTGTCATACCTATACAGGCAAATGGCCATTTAAATTATTGTACATCAAATTTAACTCGTTACATAATACCGGAGGAACCAAAAAAATAAAACATAACAGCAATACAAAATACTACGCACATGCAATATTTTGCTGATAATGAAGAAAATAATTTAGTAATTACAGAATATTTTTTTTTTTTTTGGCCTATATCCACAGCTGTTCACATGAAACAAGTAGTGGTCTACACTAACCTTACTCATCTGACAATATTCAATAGTCTTCTCGTCTAACAAAATGGGGTAATTGAGGTAGTCTTCATGGTAGTGATGTTCTCGTGTGCTTGCTGGTGTAGCCTTGCATGGAGTCACTGTTCGTGCAATGCTAAGACTATCAGAAACCTCTTGAGTATTTAGTAAAGGAGCAACGGATGAGCTGCTATGCTCAATGCTGCTCACATGCTCACTTGTTTGTATGGCAGCACTGGAAACTTCTTTCTTACAGCAATTCCAAATTTTGCTACAGGCTTTTCCCATTGTAGTCACTTGGAGTTCAAGCTATTTATCTGTCTAGATAAATTAAACAAATCAACTTACTGTGGGTGCATCTGTATTAAGAATGGATCATACATTAGCTTACAAAAATAAATTTACCCCTAAACAGGGGGCAAAGTAAATTATTTATATTAATTATTATCACACCGGCCGATTCCCACCAAGGCAGGGTGGCCCGAAAAAGAAAAACTTTCACCATCATTCACTCCATCACTGTCTTGCCAGAAGGGTGCTTTACACTACAGTTTTTAAACTGCAACATTAACACCCCTCCTTCAGAGTGCAGGCACTGAACTTCCCATTTCCAGGACTCAAGTCCGGCCTGCCGGTTTCCCTGAACCCCTTCATAAATGTTACTTTGCTCACACTCCAACAGCACATCAAGTATTAAAAACCATTTGTCTCCATTCACTCCTACCAAACACGCTCACGCATGCCTGCTGGAAGTCCAAGCCCCCCCGCACAAAAAACCCTCCTTTACCCCCTCCCTCCAACCTTTCCTAGGCCGACCCCTACCCCGCCTTCCTTCCACTACAGACTGATACACTCTTGAAGTTATTCTGTTTCGCTCCATTTTCTCCACATGTCCGAACCACCACAACAACCCTTCCTCAGCCCTCTGGACACCAGTTTTAGTAATCCCGCACCTCCTCCTAACTTCCAAACTACGAATTCTCTGCATTATATTCACACCACACATTGCTCTCAGACATGACATCTCCACTGCCTCCAGCCTTCTCCTCGCTGCAACATTCATCACCCATGCTTCACACCCATATAAGAGCATTGGTAAAACTATATTCTCATACATTCCCCTCTTTGCCTCCAAGGACAAAGCTCTTTGTCTCCACAGACTCCTAAGTGCACCACTCACCCTTTTCCCCTCATCAATTCTATGATTCACCTCATCTTAAATAGACCCATCCGCTGACACGTCCAAACTCCCAAATATCTAAATACATTCACCTCCTCCTACTCTCTCCCCCAATCTGATATCGAATCTTTCATCACCTAATCTTTTTGTTATCCTCATAACCTTACTCTTTCCTGTATTCACTTTCAATTTTCTTCTTTTGCACACCCTACCAAATTCATCCACCAATCTCTGCAACTTCTCTTCAGAATCTCCCAAGAGCACAGTGTCAGCAGCAAAGAGCAACTGTGACAACTCCCACTTTAGTGTGTTTCTTTATCTTTTAACTCCACGCCTCTTTCCAAGACCCTCGATTTATTTCTTACAACCCATATTATAAATTAAATTAAACAACCTCGGGACATCACAAATCATTGCTCTATGCCTACTTGTACTGTGGAAATAATTTCCTCTTTCCTATCATACTTCTAATTGAGCATCACTATCCTGTAAAAACTCTTCCACGTTTCTGACTAACCTACCTCTACACCATACCTGAAAATCTGCACATTGACCCTATCACCCTGCCATATGCCCTTTTCCCAAATCCATAAAATGCACTTTACAGCCAACTCTTTAGCCTTTCTAACTACTATTCATTATATGTTTCCTGTAACACACTGGTCACTCACCCCCTACGTCCTTTATGCCTCTCTTGTTCATCTGCTATATTTTCTCGTCTTACTCTTATTCTTTCAATAATAACTTTACCATACACTCTTTGAGGTATACTCAATGACTTATCCCCTATAATATTTGCTACTCTCTTGTATCCTTTGCCTTTATACAAAGGAACTATGCATGCTCTTGCCAAATCCCTAGGTACCTTACCTCTTCCATCATTTATTAAATAATGGCACCAACCACTCAAAACTATTTCCACCTGCTTTTAACATTTCTATCTTTATCCCATCAATCCCGGCTGCCTTACCCCCTTTCTTTTAACTACTGCTCACGACTTCCCCCACACTACAAATGGACTCTTACCTCTCTCTACAAGATGTTAGTATCCCTCCTTGCCCCTTACACGATAATCACAGCTTCCTTTCTTATTCAAAACAAATTTAAAATCCTCCAAAAATATTCCACCCTCATCTTCCCAATACCTTATTCTCCATTTTATAACTCTACCTCTCCTATTTTTACTGACAAATCCATTTGTTCTCTAGACTTTTTAACTTGATCATCTCATCCAACTTTATTTATTTTCAACAATTTGTTGATAACATCTCACCACTCTTCATTTGCTCTCTTTTTACATTGCATACCATCTTTAACCTCTTCTCTTTTTCTCCATATACTCTTCCTTCCTTGATCACTTCTATTGTAAATACTTCTATATGTTACTTTTTCTCCTTACTTCCTCTCTTCACATTCTTCTTTCACCAATCGTTCCCTCTTCCTCCCGCACCCACTTTATGTAACCTCAAATTCTGATGAAACACTCTTACTACAACATTTTTAAACCTACCCCATAAACTTTCGATCCAATTGCTAATATGCTCTCATTAGCCCATCTTTCCCTCCAATAAGCGTTTATTATTTTACCTAAGCTGCCTCCTCTTTTAGTTTATAACTTACCTTCTCTTCCCTGATGCTTTATTCTCCTTGTATCCAGATTACCTTGTATTCAGTGTAGCTACATACTAGAAAGTGATCTGTAATCTGTGGCTCCTTATAAACATGTACATCCTGAAGGTTATCAACAGTCTTTTTAACAATTCATAATCCAACAAATACTGTTCATCGCCTACATCTATCCTTGTATATTATTTATCCTCCTTTTCTTTAAAATTATGTACTACTATACTAAACCCTTTCTATACAAAGTTCAATCAAAGGGTCCATTAATCATTTACAACTGGCCACCCAAATATACTACACACCTCTTAAAAGTTTCTCTATTTAGCATTCAGGTCCCCTACCTCAATTACTCTTCGCACTTGGTTCAAGGCTCCTAGCATTCACCTTAACATCTCCCCAAATCTCTCTCTCTCCTCTGCATTCTCTCTTCTACAGGTGCATACCACGCTTATTAGACCACTTCTGATCAACCTTTACTTTAATCAATAATTTTGGATTTCACATTCATATTCTCTTTTTTCCTTCATAACTGATCAGTCAACATTTAAACTGCTATCCCTTCCTTTGCTCTAACTTCTCATATTTCCAGATTTAATTCAATTTATATTTCCCACCACCGAAACTCACACAACCCAGTCAGCTTTGTTGCGCTTAGGGCCAGGACATCAACTTCTTTTCATTCATAACCATCAGAATCATCTGTTTCTTGTCATCCGCCTACATCCACGCACATTTAAGCATCCAGGTTTTATAAGTTTTTTTCTTCTCTTTTTTAGTAAATGTCTACAGGGGATGGGGTTATAGCCAATTGCTCCCGTGCATTTTTAGTCGCCTATACGGTCACGCATGGTTACGGAAGGAAAGTTTCTATTCCATTCCCTTTGGACAATAGAAGAAATAAATAGGAACATGAGCTATTTTAGAAAGTAGAGAAAATCCTTGATGTATGTATATATACTATGCATGTGCGTGTCTGTGCTAAGTGTGACCAAAGTGTAATTGGAAGTCGCAAGATTTCCCTTGTTATCTAGCGTGTTTATGAGACAGGAAAAAGAAACAGAATCCTCCATCATGAAAACAGTTAAGGTTTTGTTTTCACAGTCTATTTGGCAGGACGGTAGTTACTTCCCCGGGGTCGGTTCGCTGTCTTACCAATACTACCTACATATTATATATTATTTTTATTTATAATATATTCTTGAACCATCTCTATCTACCAATTTATATATATACTACTTTTTATATTGCTTATTATATATTTATATATATATATATAGATATATTATATAAAATATTATATATATATATATATATATATATTTATATTATATTTTTTATATATATATATAATATATACATATATTATATATATATATATATATAGTATTATATAATATATATTTTTATATCTACAGTGGACCCACTGATTAACGATAATTTTTTCATTCAGATGTATGTTCAGGTGCTTTACTGAACGAATTTGTCCATAAGAATTTTGTGAAGCAGATTAGTCTCATTTCAGACCGCCCCAATAATACACGAACAAAAGCACTTAATAAATTCACTTATATAATTGATCGCAATTGGGGGTGATCCGTTTAGCGGGGGGGGTCCACTGTACTAATATATATATATATATATATATATATATATATATATATATATATATATAAATATTATCTTATATATAATATAATATAATATATATTATTTTGTGAATCAGGGCAGGAGGAACAACATCTATGTAGGAGTGAGGTAGAGCCAGTTGTGAGTGTGATAGGGGGATGTTAGTTGTGGCAGTAGGTAAAATGAAAAGGGGGGTAAGGAGCCGGGATGATGGATGAAAGATAGTATGTTAAAAACAGCGTGGGTGATATAGTTTGATTGGTTGGTTGCAATTATTTAAATTTTAAAATGTTTTAATTGGAAGAGGGTAAGGTCATAGGATTGGCAGAGGCATGCATAATTCTTTTGTCTAAAGGCAAAGGGGATAAAAGAGAGTGCAAATATTATAGGGGGATAAGTCTGTTGAGGATACCTGGCAAAGTGTATGCGTAGAGTTCTTTAGAAAGAATTAAGAGTAAGACGGAGACTAGCGATAGCAGATGAACCAGAAGGTTTAGGAAGTTCGGGGTGTGTGGACAGGGGGTTTTCGTGACACATATAATGTGAACACGTATTTAGATAAGGCTAACTTAAGAGGTCGTTGTAGGCATTATGGATTTGGAAAAGGCAGTATGACCAGGGTGGATAGGGGGAGCAATGTTGGCGGATGTTGGCAGGTGTATGGTTGTTGGAGGTAAGGTTATGAAAGCAGTGAAGGTTTTACGAGGATAGTGCAGGCTCAAGTTTAGCGTATGTAGGAAAGATGGAACTAATTTCCCAAGTAAAGTAGGCCTTAGACACAGGATGTGTGATGGTCACCGGGTTGTGGTTATTTAATTTATTTATAGATGAGGGTATGTAAGAGAAGTAAATGCGAGGGGTCTTGGCAAGAGGCGTGAGTTAAAAGATAAAAGAATCCAACCATAAAGTTGGGAGT